GACCCGTCCCGCGCTGCTTTGCCTTTTGTTCTTTCTTGTTTCCTTTTCTCCTACCAAATTTTTGGCGTCTTTATCTTTTGAAGAGGGCGATGATCTGTTGGAGTTCCGCAGGTGCTCTGGTTGGCTGAGTGGGTCTGTAGATGTGGGTCTTGGTGTATTTGTGGGAGAGGGTGACTTACAAGCGTCCTTCTACTCCGCCATCTTGCCGGGAACCAGAAGCAGTTTTATCATAGCAATGTTAATTCTCTATATCCCTCTTGAGTTATAGGCCAAAAATATATATTGTGATTTTGATGTACTAAAAATGTAGTTTAGTGGTCTATCTGACAATTCAATTAAATCACTCTAAAATTTTGTTTAAAAGCAAAGAATTAGAAGTCACTTGATTTGCAAAAGTTTTTCTTACCCAGTTGCTATAGCTGTTCACTTTCAACATACAATATTTGTATTTGTTTTGGCATCCCGGCAAAATTTGATATTCCGGGGTAATACAACATAGTAAGATTCCAAATGGATGGGAGTAATGACTTGCAAAACTGGGAAGAAGGCAATTATGAAAGGGGAGGTGGGAAAGGAAAACCTCCACCTCACCACAGATGTGTTCTCAGACTGGTCAGTTTTAAGAGAAAGCACATACAGTAGCTGAGGAACTGGAAACAGATTCTGTTAAAATTATCAGTGTCCATTTGCCCCTTAGAAGGTCATCACGTGCCCCCAGAGGTCCTCGTACTCCCATTGAAGACCACTGTCCTGGGCAACTGTGGAGACCCCTGGGGTTCTACTTGTGCATGTCTGTGTTAACATGTTAACTTTATCTCCTGACAATTTCTGATCTGTTCACTGCTTATTCAACTACTGTGCAATTCCTGGGCCTGTGCTTCAGTTACAGAGGCTACGACTGTAGAAACAATCTGTTCTACACACAAGCTGGAGAAGTGGTCTATCACATTGCCGCAGTTGCTGTCGTGTACAACAGGCAGCAGCACTCCCAGAGGCTGTACCTGGGACACGACGATGACATTCTCAGCCTGACCATCCATCCAGTGAAGGACTACGTGGCCACCGGGCAGGTACATATCTCTCCTGCAAGATGGGGGCCTAGCCAAAGAGAGACGATTTAATTTTGAATTCAGTTTGCACATGAGAAATTCAAGAAACACTTGGTAGAAATAAATGTGAGGCAGGAAGCTGAGGATGCAGTTAATTCTGAATCACTTGATGGTGGGATAATCAGCCATTCTGCCACTTCTGGAAAGTCTGAGGAATTCTCATTCTAAGGTGATGAGATCTATGAACAGGATTAGGTAAAACTAAAGTAAGTTCTGTGAAGTCTTAATATGTTTTCCTCATTACTGTTTACCTAGAACTTAGTGTATCTTAGGTATTCAATAAATGTTTATTAAATGAACCATCTTTTAATACTAGTGTAACATTTAGTGTATAGTTTCTTTTTGTAAAACTTAGTCATATGACCTTTGGCCGTGTAGGAGTTGGCTGGACTCTGCTCAGTTATGTGCGTGGCTTTACGTCCCATTTTCCTTTTTAGAGTCATCATACCCAACAAGGTTTTCCCCCTGTGTATTATAAATGAGGAAAACCACTTTACTGTTAACAGTTTTCTCTGTTGTTGGGAGTTGGTGTGATAGAAGCTTGTGTCACCTGGAGGAGAAGCCACCTTACTGACAGAGTTAAGTCATGAAACTCATTTCCCACGGGAAGAAGCAGGGCCGGGCCATGCCTTCTCGAGGTAGGTAGGTAATTGAGAGCTAAAAGCACTCTGAGGACAGTGCTGTAAAGACGGACAGCTGGCTTCCTTGACCGAGAAGGGGAATCGAGTGTGGAGTTGAGAAGGCAGGAACGGAAAGGCAGATCTAACAGAAGCAAAGCACAGTGGACGTTTGAGCTGGATTTTTAAAAGTCCCTTCACTGGGAGCTGTGCCCCAGGTTAGGCTCTGCTGGCACCTAAACTTGATGCCAGAGCAAGACCCTGAGACCCGTTGTGCCTCAGTTTCCTTATCTGGAAAACAGTGGAGTTGGACCAGATGATTTCCCAGGGTCTTCCTACGCTCCACGTGTGGGTTTTGATTTCTGAGTAGTACTTGACTCTGAGGAACAAAATCATTCCTATGATAATTTGTAAGTAGTTAATAACACTCTTCCTATTCTTTAAGGTTGGAAGAGATGCTGCTATTCACGTGTGGGACACACAGACTCTAAAATGTTTGTCACTGTTGAAAGGACAGCATCAGAGAGGAGTGTGTGCGCTTGATTTTTCAGGTGAGCACGTTTCCCACCGGTGTTGTAGGCAGATGGTTACACACTTACTTTGGTTTTTCTTTTTTAAACATCCTTTAGTTTTGTTTGCAAGGAGGTAAGCCCTTGGTGTGTCAGCTACCCAGTCTTAGATGGAAAATCAGATGAGTGCATACCTAACAGAAATGTGGCCTTTAGATGCCACCTCCCATCCTGTCTCCCTCGTTTCCTCTCTCCGGGGTCATTCCCCAGAGCTCACACTGTGTTCTGCCTTTGCTGGAGCGATTTGAAATCCAGAGCAGCTGTTGCTATTGAAAGACTTAGTTGCAAATGTCTGGCAGTGACTCAGAAGAACATCAATTGCCTCTCTCCAAATAAGTGGGAACACAGCACCTGCGATTTAAAACATAAAGAGCTAGAGGGAGGGCTGCACTTGCTCTGCAAAGGGCCACTTTACAAGGCTGGTGTTTTGGAAATAAATTTCATCTTGAAAAAATAGAACTGAAGTTTCCATCTCCTTAATTTAAAATTTGAACACAGTGCTTTTATAATCCAACTGGTGAATATAATTTTCTTTAGAATAAGGCCATTTCCTTATGCTAGGATCGAAGAATGAGGACTTATCACAAAAGGGTGTTTTCGCCTAGAAATGTTTAATAATCCCAAATGTAGATATTGGATGTGTAGGAAAAAATTCTGAACTTTCTGCAGGAAACTAATTCTGTAATTTCCTTTTTCTAAGCTTTATTCAAATGTTTAATATGTGCAGTATGTATAATATTGGTCATTAAATTCCATGATTTCACAGCCCCAACCTCTGTCTTATGTGCCTCCCCCTCTACTCTCCTTGTTCAAGCCCGAAATTCTCATCAGTGCCATCATAACTGTGCTGGTCTCTGCTTCCATCCCCACTTCCTCCAGTCTATCCTGCCCACTTTTTGAGTCTCCTGAAAGTGCAGTGACATTGCTCCCCCACGTGGACTCCCTTTGGTTGGCTGGCTCAGGGCTGAGCCCTTGGTTGGACATTCATAGTCTCTGTGATCTGGCCTCAACTTTCCTTTGCAGTGTTTTCACCCACTAACCCATTTGTGTGCCTTTATATCCCCCTAACTGTAGAACCCAAATGCACTTCTATCTGTGTTTTTTGCCTGTGTTCCTTTTCTCATGCTGTTCTCATGTGTCTGTTCAAGTCCTGCTATCCTCTAAGACCAAGCTGACAGTTTCCTCCTCCATCCTTCGAGAGAGAAATGACCTATTCCCTTTTCTGCATCCCTTAGCCCACTGTTGTCAGTGCTCTTGTGGTACTTGTTAGAGCCCACGTGGCACAATAGTTACATGTGGTGACAGCTCCTCATACAGCAGAGCCCATCTCTCTGTTCCCCACTGCACACGTTGTAGCGCAGTGGACACAGAAGCTACTCCAAATATGCGAGTGAATGAATACATGAATGAATGAGGTTTTGTTTAATGTATTTTGTCTTGCCTTTCACTACTGTTGCTAGAACTTGACATTGTAAACCATCTTGGGACAAAAATTATCTTTATTCTCTAACCAATAACATGGTGCAGATTTCTGTGGGTGTGTCACATGTACATTCTCATATAATATAAACTACTGTATAAATCTGAGTTGCTATGTCATCATTAGAAGTTAGTACTTTCTGTCATTATTGAATTAATAGAAATCAAGACTAAACAGTTCATACTGCCCACTGGTGGGCATGAGTGGTAGAGAAAGCATGAGTATCAAAGAGAGAGAACTACTTGGTTACCACCTGCCAGTTGAAAGGCTGGGTAACGCACCCAATAAAAAGTGAATACAAAGTCCTAAACTTCCAGAAATTTGATGGACGTAAAATTTTTTATTTTTAGGGGGATTTGGGGGAAAGTAATTAGGTTTATTTGTTTTTTAGAGGTAGTAGGGATTGAACCTAGGTCCTAATGCATGCTAAGCGTGCACTCTACTACTTGAGCTATACCGTCCCCCAGACATATGATTTTAAAATAAGTGCACCATGTGTCCTTGATACAAACAGTAAAATCTAAAATGAACCTATAATTTGAGTTCAGATAAGGTTCTGTTTGAAAGATGTGAATGGATTTTTGCTTTTTAAAATAGTTGCACTCCTTAATGGCGCAACTATCTGTCCTTTTCCTAAAATTAACTTGCTAGCAGATACATATGCGTATACTTAACATAAAAATTATATTAAGAAGTATGCTTTAGAAGAATGCCAAGACACCCATTAAATAAAATAATAAAACCTAAATGTGTCCTAGAGTATAGAGACTCTAATATATTTTTGGCAACATTGAAAATTGACTCAGTATTTCTAGCAGACAATTTGGTGCTGTTTAATAAAAGCTATATAACTTAAATGACAAGTATGTGGACTGTGTATTTTATACACATTTCCATGTATCAAAGAAAAATTAGAACTCAAAATAGCATCTATTCACTGATTTCAACTGAAATGTGTATTAACATACAAACCAAGTGGCAGGAAATTTACAATACTACAAGTAGAATTTAATAATTATTAGACAATTTTTCTATAGAATTGATTAATTTGGGGTTTTTTAATTGAGAAAAATAAAAAAACCAACTCATGTTAATTAAATATTCTTAGAAAAGAGATGAAAGGAGTGTTGATCAAAGACACTGGTTATGAGATGAGTTAATACCAGGAAGCTGATACCCAGTAACTTGGTCTCTGTGTTTCTGAGAGCTCATATCTCTTCCTGGCTTAGCAGTTTCATAAAAGAAAGATCAAGAGATTAACTGAACTTAGAAGTCTTTCCCTCGTCAGGCAGCCCCTCACACTGATGCCTGGTGGAGAAACCAGACATTGTAGGAAGAGGTTGAGAAGCCGATTTTGTCACTTCTTCTAATTCCCACTTTGGGTAAATAAAGAAATACCCACATATGAAGTATTTTCTACCTAGAAAGGGTATTTCAGTTTTAAGAATACATTCTTTATTCCCCAGGTAACATTCATTAAAGAAGAGCCAATTTATTCAGCAAATGTGTTATTTTTGATTGTGAAAAATTACATACTCATCTCAGAGTTTAAATACAATGTTAATTCGTAAATGGCAGAAAGAAAGCTAGGTGATAGTTTTAGAAAGCACTAACCTCAAGGTAGTGGGGAACTACCTGTTGTGTTTGATCTGTCACCGTGTGTGGTTACATGCAGAGCAACTGAGGTGGTTGGTTGATCTTTGTGGTCTCTATGGCACCCTCCTGAAGGTGTGAGCTGAAGCCTCTTTGTTTCGCTTACACTGATAGTAGTACTCTGTGTTAGAATGGTATCACTTTAGTCTTAAACAGACCCCTGCACCACTTTACAGACCAAGAATGTAGATCCAGAGAGTTTGTTGGTATGGCCAGGGCAAAAGTCAAACAGTAGCAGATCCAGAGCTAGGACCTAGGCTCTCAGTCCCCCCCGTGAGAAAGCCACCCAGCCTGGGGCTGTCAGCTGGCGGGAGCTGTCCCCCCTCTGCCTCTTGCCTCTTCTGCCCCTGCCCTCCACCAGGACCTGTATGGACTTTCAACAGAGAGGCATACCTGGAGCACTGGGCATGCTCCTTTACTTCCTCACTCCCTCTCCCCAACGGCAGGTGTTTCCAGCTGCCACCGCCCCTGTTCTCCAGCATCAGTGTGAAGTGGGCATGGGGTTACATAGAGGCTGCCATGTGCAACAGCCACTCCCGTCCCGCCTTGAAAAGAGACCCGTGTCCTAGAACAGCCCTGAATTAAACATGGTGAATAGGAGCAGAAAAGTGAGTAGTTTAAGTCAAAATGCCGAGAGAAGATTATTTAGATTTCCGTGTTGAACCATGTAAACAAGGCAGGGACACTGGTTATTATCTAGCTAGTGGCCCCATCTGTGTGCCTCAGCACCCCCACGTCCACCTAGCTCTTGCAAGTCAGCTCATTTGGGGGGTATTGTGGAGACCTACTGAGAGTACTTTTGCCTCTTATTAGAGAAAGAAATTGTCGTGGAAATACAAAGCAGGCAGATGATGTGAAAACTAGACTACAAATAAACAGTTATACTTAGGGATTTAGATTAATCCATGTTTGCTACTTTTCCAAGGCAAACAAAAAGAATAAATTTTTAACCAAAAACATTTCTAACAGCATAATCCATATCTCTAAATTATGTCAACAAGAAAAATGCATTTATATTATGTCACTTAACTGAGCAACTCTTTGACTTTGTGAATTTATTATCACTGTCTGGGGAAGATGGAGCCATCTATGGGACTGCTTGCAGTCAGAAAAGTGCCTCCATGTGAATAGAAAACCAATTAAAAAGAGAAAGGTTCAGCCATGTAAACATTCTCTAGACTAAATATCATCCTCATATTTTAAAAACCTTCACTGAATATACTAATTTCCACAAGGGCACCTCTAAGACTAACTTGATTTCATTGTGTTCAATTCTAAAAACCTATGCATTTTTTATGAGCCCTGAATACGGGATCAACTTGTAATTGTTTGAGTAAAATATTTCTCTTTCTAATTTGCCCTTTACTGTTGACATTAAGTGCCTTAGAATTATTTCTGGACTGTGTCACAAAATATCCATAATTAATACATACTGTGACTGGAAAGATTTGAAAGGACATTGGTTAAACTCTAAAAATACTGTTGGAAATCAAAAACTCCAACTAAATGGTCAAGGGACAATGGATTTTCAAAGCTAAGGTCAAGCCTCTGGGTAAGGGGGAGGAGAACAGGGGGGAAAAAAATGGTAGCCAGTTATACTTCCAAACTGTGTGGTGTGTAGAAATAGCCCATACCTGCAGAGTTCAAGAAAAAAATTGCCATCCTAAAGAAGAGGTATGATTTTTGAGGTGCCTCTGGGTTTATACTGCTGCTTCATTGCTATTCATAGTCAGAAATGGGGTAGAAAGGTGGTATAACTGTGAAGACAGGCTGGTGGGGCCTTGCAGAAATTCTAATAAAAAGTAGCAAAAAAAAAATCAATTTACCCTGAGATCTTCAAAAAATGTAAAATGTGGGGGAAAAAACCCTATCTTTTAATATATGTGGATGTTTGCATTCTAAGGATATATTAATACAGCTACACAAAAGAAAACATAAAATTTTAAATTAACAAATGCAAAAAACAGACACTGAATATTTGTGCAGTGTTTTTGAAAGGAATGATAATTAAGACAATTAACATTGTATAGCTAAAGAACATGGAACTATCCATAGGCACATTCCACTCTTGTCTCCCTCGTCCTCCTGATGTCTTCAGTATCACCAGACTTCACTGAAAAAGAACTCAGTATGAGGATCTCATAAGAAATGTGTTACAAGTCCCATAAGTTTTAAATAAGAGCTTGCAATATAAGAAGGGAAAGAGAAATGTCCAATACAAATGCAGAGACAGGCTAATGTAGCAACATAGCCAGGCCCCACAGGAAATATGGGAAAAGTAATGTCAGTAATGAATAGGAGGTCGTCACCAGTCCCTTCTCCCAAATGCATGAAGAGAGACCATGCACAATTTAAAGCCTGGTGACACTGACGCATAAGGGCATGTCATTCACTGTGATTCAGAAGACACATCTGTTTATAGTAATCACTTGGTGGCTTAGCCCTTTAGGAAAGTGTTAATGTCTTCACCTAATGCTACAGTCTAGGGGCTTGAAAGGGTTAATGTAACCTTCAAATCCTTGCCTCAGTGGTAGTAGGTAGTAGGCAGTAGCAGTAGCAGCAGCAGCAGAAGATTGGGGAGGATTTGGTTTGTTAAGCCAGGCTCTTCCTTTCTTACTCTCCTTTTCCACCAGGAGGAAAAGGATCTGACTGCTGTTCCCAGTTAGCACAAGTAAGGGCACTCAAGGATTGGACGTTAGTTAACCAGCATTTGGGGAGGGTTGCCAGATACAGCAAATAAAAATACAGGAGGCCCAATTAAATTTGAATTTCAGGTAAACTGGATAATTTCTTAGTACAAATATGTCTCATGCAGCGTAATATTGTACTAAGAACTTACTTGTTGCTTATCTGAAATTCCAATTTGACTAGGCCCCTTTATTTTACCTGGCAGCCCTAATTTGGCATCTACCCTAGGCCTGTCTTTGAAAATACCAGTCGAGACCCCGAGTGGGCTGGGGAGAAGTAGTTTATCACAAACTCATGTTTCTTTACCCGAATGTTGCTGGCCCTCTGTAGTCAGAGGAGACGCCCTGCTGAACTGAGGCTCAGTGAGTTTGGCCTCCCATCTCCCAGCCCACGGAGAGTTCGGGAGGAACTGCTGACCCGAGAAGCTTCTCTCTGAATCTGGCTTCATGAGGAGGCAGCAAAGGGAAGACTTATTGACCATACCTCTTCATCTGTCTTGAAGGGAAAAAGCAAATTAACTGTCTGGATTCAAATTCAGTTATACATATTATATATTTTAATTTTGTAAAACAACCTGTCCAAATTATAGTAATCATTGGTAATATAATTAATACTAAGGAAACATGCTCATCATATAACAAATGAAAAAAATTAATATGTTCATTACAATCCTGGTTTTGTTTTCTGAAAGCATATTTTATAGAGAAACTGACAGGACTTATATCAATAGGCCTAGAAGTTTGGATGATTTAAAAATTTCCTTTATCCGTATTTTCTAAATGTCCTACAACAAACATACTTTATGTGAAATAGGGAAACTAAGAAATTAACGGTTTTTTTAAATTGTAACATCATCTTTTAAAATAATTTTTAAAGTTAAATTTAGTCTCTAATGCTCTTGGAGAGTTAAACAGAACCCAGTTTTTTACAGCTGAGAATAGACTAAGAGTGACATTAAATGGCTCTTCCATTAAATGCCATGAGATTTGTCTGACACAAAATAGACAAGGTTTTGATGACTCAAGACACTCCCCCAACCCCATGGCTCAGATTGGAACACTGAGTGAGTGATTTAATTCAGCAACCGGTTATTGTGCATTCAGAAGCTCCATATTGCTAATTATGCATTTTGTTCAGTGAGGTCCCTAATTTAGTGTGTGATTCTTCTAATGTATTTGAGCCTAAATAATATTCTTAAGGTTAATTTCTTGTTCGTCTTTATAGTATATAAAGTGTTTGGGTTTTTCACTGAAGAAATGAGTCATTTGATGTTTGTGTTGTTTTCATACAGCTGATGGAAAATGCCTGGTGTCTGTTGGTTTAGACGATTTTCACAGTATTGTATTTTGGGACTGGAAAAAGGGAGAAAAGATAGCCACCACCAGGTAAGAAGCCGCCAAGGTCTGACGACACCCTGCCGATGATTACGCTTCAGTAAAGGTCAACAGTTTGCATTTTCTGGTCAGAGTTCTTCTTCAAACTCAGGTGGAATTCATATAGAAAGCTTAACCCCTAAGGGAGAGCATATTGCAATATTTCATGGTGACATCCTGACTTAGAGGAATTAATGATTGTTTCAGGGAATTGAAAAATTCTGAAACTCTTTTCAGAGAGTTATTCATCACTTTGCTCTTAGTAATATATGCATTATCTGTATTGGAGCTTTTTGCCAGCAGTAGGAAAGCAGCTTTTCTCAGGCTGGTGCCTTGCCCCCTTGTTTTCCCACTGTCTGAGCATCTGGTGAAGGCTTGTCAATGTCACTGGAGTCAGAAGGACCATTTGTCATGAGGCGGTGGTGTGCGGGAAAGGAGGCCCCATCGTGTGCATCTGCCACTCGCTTTCAAGCAGGCAAATTGTTTCCCTAATCTCCCCGTCTTATAAATAGACTTTCCAAGACCGACTGCTGTTTATAGACCACCTGTCCTCCCTTACCCCAGCCCCCCTCCCTGCTGAATCAGCCCTAAGTCTGAACATTGCTTTCCACTCCTGCTTGCATTGGGCTTAGCTGTTTGCCCAGCCGTGGTCAGAGGTCAGAATAGTTGGCAACCAAGGCCCAGCAATACAATTTGTTGCCCAAGGCAGGTTATCAGTTTACCTCTCTGCTGGTTCTTCCCTGCGTAAACCGACTCCCTTTCAATCTTGCCCCACAAAATCATGTTTAAGTTCATGGCTTTGAATGCCAAGATTCAGTTTTTAAATTGATGTGTCCCTCTGTGATATTAAATAGGAGAAAACTTTTTTGGCAATTTGATTTAATGAATGAAGATCCATAAATTTATAGAGACTTGGAGGAGGAGCAGATGGAGCCTTGAAGACTCCAGCTGACCATCTTAGGAGAAAAACAGGAACTTTTCTGATGACTGCTGTTGAGATGGAATTCTTGGCAGCAAATGGCAGCTCATAAATCTGCCTACCCAAGTGGTTTTTCCTTTGGTCTCTCTAGTATTCCTCACTGTTGTTTCAATCCCCACTAGTACTCAGATCCAGCTTTTCATCAGAACTCTGCTCTCCTCCTCAATTAATATACTGAATTTTACTTTAATAGTTCTGATAACATGCCATCTGTATTACAGATAATTTCAGGCAAAGCACATGTCTGCATTTCAAAAGAAGTGCAGTTTTCCTGCTAGAAAACCCTCTGCAAATGTGGGTGGCTCACCTGTTGTATGCCAGCAGCATTAATAGAAATGGAAGAAATATTAATACTTAAAAAGTATATATCTGATATGTTTAGTAGTTTTACTTCCATTTAATTAACACAAAGTGACTGAACACTATTACGTTAATGACACAGTTTATTTTTGGAATTGTTCCCAAGTTGTATGTCACATTCCCCAAACAGGACACCTACAGAATTGCCCTCAAAGAGCATTTTTTCCAATGGTAACATTCACCACTGCTCTTTCCAAGAAGGAATGACATGGATTATTAAAGTCCTTTGGATGAATACTAGATTTTTAAATAATAAATAATATTTATAACTACCTATTTATATAATATTAACAGCTGTAAATACTTACATAAGTAAGTAACCAAAAATAAAATTCATTTTATGGCTTGAAGTTAGGGTGCTTAAGTAGATAGAAACTTTAATAACAGCGGCATGAAAGACGTGACAAAGAAAAAGGAGTTAATACTTTACTGATGGGACCTTCCTGGCTTCCGGGAGTCATCATAGCTCCTCTGAGGGTCTGATTTACTCTTGGCGGTGGCTGACTCAGTGACACCCCTCACTTTGCACTTCTGTGTTTCCATCATTGCCAGCATCACCACTAGCAATGCTTAACAGGAAACTGGCTTCCTGTGGGCTGCATCCTTCTGCCAGGTGATATTCTCCAAAGTGCCCATCACCCAGGGTGTGAGATTTCCCCATTAGGGGAGGGAGGTAGTCGGTGACTGGGGTGGCATCACCAGCAATGCCTCTGCTGCCCAAGGCTGGCGTGTGCCCACGGCACTCTCAGAAGCCACCCTTCAGTTGTGAATATGTTTAAGTGAACCTACTTTTTTATCAACTCAGAGAAATTAGCGAAGTTCAGAATTGGCCCATAGAGATGTTATTACAAGATCTCTCTCTATGAGGCTTGATCCAATCTATTTGTGCAGTTGTTTTGACTCTTTGCTAATTTTCCTGAATGATTTCAGTCACCTCCATTACAGATGAATTTTTTAGTCTTTTTCTTCCTTTTAATGTACAAGTAATATATTTTAGTTTAATACACAAGTAACCCATTTAATAACCAAGACCAATCTCTTATGGACAGTGGTGAAATGGCCTGATATTACTGTCAATCAGGGCAGAACAATAGGATAATTAATCAGGCACCTCTGTGTCCCTTTATTTGGATTTCCACCCCACTATGAACATGGCTCTGGGGGACAGTGACTGATAATTATTGACACACTTCATCTCAGAGGTTTGAACAGTAGGGATCTTAGGCAAAAGATACAGTATCAAGGTGCATAACAAGAACACTTCCAATGTTAATGTGAGGTAGTTGTGCTACTAGAGAGCTTAGGGACAAAGTATAGGCCCTCACAGAGCAGGTGCACAGACCCTCAGAGTATGCATTTCTGTTTTGGCTCTGCTGCTGTATCTATTTTAGGTCCCTAACCTTACATACATTTAGTGAATAAGATCAAGTCTCCTGCATACCAAATTGGCACTGTCTTTTCTCACTCTCCTTTTTAAATATGTGTATCTCTTTTTTAAAATAACATTTATTAATTTTTCTGTTTTTAAAATAATACATGATTATAAAAAAGTTAGCACAGGAAAGCACCAAGAAGAAAAGGAAATGATTCATAATTCCATTCCCCAGACATAGCCATGGCTAATATTTTAGCATATGTTCTTTAGTATATATTCAGCTAGTTTTTTAATCCATTTTTAGTCATATATGGGGTGTTACACATAGTGCTCTGTGACTTGCTTCCCCCCCCCCCCCCTCACCAATATATCATCCCACTTTCTCATTAATGTTACCTGGCTTATTCTGTATTACTCTATAGTGTAATCCATTTATAATCTTATTTGGAGCTGGGGTAGAAGTCAGACATTCATTCAGTCTTTCTGTTGTGGGCTACCTTCACGCACATAAAAAGAAGACCAGATCACACGCACGGGACTGGGCCTCCGTGCAAACAGAAGCGTTTGGAATAGAAGATTAAGAAGCCAGCTCACCTGGTGTGCAGCTGTCCTTGGCTTCTAGAAGGGGTGCTTCCTTCCCTCTTCTGCTGTGCTTGCTGAGAGTTTAAAATGTGGCCCTGCATGGTGACTTACCTGTGACCCAGGCATGAGGACATGTCCTGTGTTGGGGCAGCAGGACAGACTTCTACATTCTTACTCCTTCAGTTTAGGACCTGACACTCTTTTAATTTTGTTTTTCTTACACAGACATGAGCACACAGATGCAGTTGTAGGCAACTTTCCTATAAATTTAACAAGTGTCTAAAGGAAAAATTAGCAGATAGTGAGTGCATGTTCTTTATGTGTTGACATTAAGCATTTATGTGCCATCATTAGTGTAGAATTTTAGCTGTAGCAGAAACACATCGCTGTTTTTATGACACCAAGAAATTAGATGAAAACTACAATGTGCTCTTAAAAAAGACTTTTCCAACTGCCTTTAACTGTTTGACCTTGTATAGACACGAGCAAACAAAACAGTGCTCTTGACTATGTAGGAAATGTAATTTATGATATGTTCTCAATTTTCATTTTGTTTTTTCTAGCATCGTGTCTCTAAAGTTCATATTAATTATTTAGGAGCTGTGGGAATTTTCCTCCAATCACGAAATCCTTGGATAGTTAATGTCTTTCATGGCTATCTGGTTTCTTCTTTGTGTTAAGCACATTTTCTTTTCTCTTTCATTCATACCTTTTTCTGTCTGACCTAATTATTCCTTATACATCCAGTGATGTATCTTGGCCCTGGTGTCCATGTTCATTTTTGACTTTCAAAGAAACAAAGGGAGAAAGTTCAAAAATCAGTTCCTCTTCCTTTGCCTGCCTTTCACTGTAGGACTCATACAATGGGTATGGCGATGTTCTGTTCTTTTAACTGCTTATTATGGAAATTTTAAAAGTTACACAAAAGTGGAGTATTTCCTCCATAGTAAACTCCCTTGTACCCATCACCCAGCTGCAATATCCCACACATGGTACAAAGCTTCCTTCCTTCTCATTTTTGCCTTTTACTTTCTTTTCTGCTTTAAGATTTTAAAGATAATTCAAAGCATTGTGTCATTTGACCTGTATATACTTCATTAGGCATTTCTAACTGCAAAGATTTGTTTTTAAAAACCACCATTCCATTATCACAACTAACTAGGGCAACAGTAATTTCTTTCTTTCATTTATTACCCAATTTATAATCAAACATTCCTGACTGTTTCAAAGATGAGAGTTGATTTGTTCAAATCTGCATCAAAACAAGGCCCACATTTTGTATTTGACTGTCATCTTTCTTAAGCCTCCTTTATTTTATAGCAGTCCCCTCCCCCCTTATTCGTACCATAGATGCATTTGAGGAACTGGGTCATTTGACCCATAGAATATGTCACATTCTTAACTTGACTGAGTCTTCACGAGAGCATAGCAAACATTTCCCTGCATTTCCTATAAATGGTAGTTAGACCCATAGGCTTGAATCACATTCAGTTTTTTCCTTGACACTAGTTTCATAGATAAATAAATCATATACCATATAATTCACCCATTTAAAGTGTACAGTTCAGTTACTTTGTAGTATATACAGATGTCAAACTATAATACTGTACACTTGAAATGTATAAACATTAGCGTATTCACAGAGTTGTGCAGTCATTACCACTATCTAATTTCAGAACACTTTGACCACCCCAAAAAAGAAACTCCATATTCATTAAGCTCTAATCTGCTTGCAGTCTTTCTGGATTTTTATATTCTAGACACTGTATAAATGGAGTCATACAAAACGAGGTCCTTTGTGCCTGGCTTCTTTCATGTAGCATAATGTTTGAAGGTTCGTGTATGTCATAACATGTGTCAAGGCCTCATTCCTGTTTATTGCTGAGTAACATTTTATGGTGTGGATCCAACCGCGTTTTATTTATTGATTCATCAGTTGATGGATAGTTGGGTTGTTTCCTCCTTTGGGCTCTTACAAATAATGGTGCTACGAACATTCGTGTACAAGGTTTTAAATAGATACAGATTTAACTTCTCTTGGGTATATACCCAGGAGTGGAATTGCTGGATCATATAGCAGTTTTCTATTTAATATTTTAAGGCATTGCCAAAATATATTTCAAAGTGGCTGTACTATTTTACATTCTCACCAGCAATGAGTGAATGTTCCAGTTTCTCCACATACCACATACTTGCTGACACTTATTATTGTCTGTCATTTTGTTATATCCATCCTAGTAGGTATGAAGTGATACCTTATTAAGGTTTTGTTTTTCATTTCCTTAATGGCTAATGATACGGAGCATCTTTTCAGGTGCTTACTGGCCATTTGTGTATCTTTGCAGAAATATCTATTCAGATACTTTGCCCATTTTTAATAGGATTATTTGTCTTTTTATTATTGAATTGTCAGAGTTTTTAAAAATATATTCTGGATATAAGTCCCTTATCAGATATATCATTTGCAGATATTTTCTCTTTAGTTTTTTAGGCAAGAGTACCTGATACGTACTTCACGTTGGACTGTGTCAGAAACATAATCGGTGGCATACTGGGGGTGGGGGCCACGGGAGTAGTACTTGCCAGGTGCCAGCAATAGGGCTTGTATTATCTGTAGAAGTTTTTTAGTAGAGTAATAAAACCAACTAAAAGCCAGTCTGCTTTTTGTTATTCCCTGAGCCAGCAGTTCTAAATAGTGTTAAGGATTGAATTCCTCTTTCTCAGGGCAGATCACTCTTCCAGTACACTCCCACGGTGCGACACTGCCCAAAATGTCTGGTTCTCCTACTCTTCGTAATACTCAGCTCCTATGTGGGTTCTAGTGGTATCAGCCTAATCGTTCCATTATAGTCTCCCAACAATGTACTGTCTAATGGTCGTGGCATCCATTCACAAACTATGGGCTAAACTGATTATTTAATTAGGGGTTGAAAATGATAATTTTCTAATTCTATCATTCATTTTTCATATTAGCTAGAATTCTTCTATAAGTAAGAATTTTCCCTCATGAACCATCTTGCTTCTCTGAAATACTGTTCACACAGGAAGTAGTCCTTTACATGTTAGGGTTATTTGTCTGTTGTCTGTAACTTGCAGATGTTTCCCCCAGTTTGTCATTTGTCTTTTGAGTTTTCTATGATGTTTTTCATTATGCAAAGGTTTTTGTTTATATGTGGTCAAATTTATCAGTCTTTACTACTTTAAGATTTTGAGACATAGTTAGGAAAGTATTCCCCATTCTCAAGTTAAAAGGAAATCACTCATAATTTCTTCTAATCTGCTATGGGTTATCTTTATGTTTAGGTCTCTAAAACATTGGGAATTTATCCCAGTATTTATTGTGAGGAGCAGATCCTATTTTATTCTTTTTCCAAATGGCTATCAAGGTGTTCCAAGCACCAATTTTCTTTTCCCTTTTATATAGAATTTATTCTATAGGACAGCTTTAGTTTCACAGCATAATTGAGCAGAAAGTACATGGTTCCCATATACCCACTATCCCAGCCTCCTTCAAATCCCCACCTGGCACCAGAGTGGTACATTTGTTATAATAGATGAAGCTACATTGAAACATCATTATTACCCAAAGCCCACAATTTCTATTAGGGTTTACTCTTGGTGGTGTACATTCTGTGAGTTTTGATAAGTATATAATGACATGTGTCTACCACTATGGCTTCGTACAGAATGATTTCACTGCCCGAAAAATCTGTGCTCTGGCTGTACACCCCTTCCTCCCCTCTAACCTGGAAACCACTCATCTTTTTACTATCTCCATAGTTTTACCTTTTCCAGAATGTCATTTAGTTGAAATTGTATAGTATGCAGCCTTTTCGAATTGGCTTCTTTTCACTTAGTAATATCCATTTAAAGGTCCTCCCTGTCTCTTCATGGCTTGATAGCTCATTGCTTCACCTACTGAAGAACATCTTGGTTGCTTCCAAGTTTTGGCAGTTATGATTAAAGCTGCTGTAAGCATCCATGTGTAGTTTTTTTTTGTGGTCATAAGTTTTCAGCTCCTTTGGATAAATACCAAAGAACATAATTGCTGAATCTTATGGTAAGAGTATGTTTAGTTTTGTAAGAAACTGTCACACTGTCTTCCAAAGTAGCTGTACCATTTTGTGTTCCCACCAGCAATAAATAAGAATTCCTGTTGCTCCACATCCTTGCCAGCATTTGGTAACATACACCATTTAAGTGTTCATTTTTCCCCATTGATTTGAGACCTGTCTTTATTATGTACTACATTTTAATATTCATTTGGGTCTCTTTCTAGATTTTCTATTTTGCCACTGGTTTGTCAGTCAATTTGTGCACCAATACCATACTGTTTTAATTATGAAGTCTTTATAAATTGTTTAGTATCTAGGAGAGCTACCCTTTTCACTTTGCTTTTCTTTTTCAGAGTTTTCCTGGCCATTACTGCTGGTATATTCTCCCATAAGAACTTGAAAGCCAGGGTTTAAACTCCAGGTTAAAGAACAAACAAATAGACATTAAACTGCTTTTTTAATTGGAATCAATTTGAATTTATAAACAAAGTTAGGGAGAATTAACATCTTTATGAGTGAGTTTTCCAACCAAAGAGCATGGAATGTGTTTTCATTTTTTTATGTCTACTTTTCCACCTTACAGATGCAGGGTGTTTTTTTGTTGTGCTCATTCATATGTAGTGCACATTTCTTGCTAAATTTGTGCCTTGATATTTTTGTTGTTGTTTATACATAGAGTCCTTTCTTCAAAAATGTTTTTCAACTGGTTATTGTATTTATTAAGACTATTGATTCTATATTTAATTTAATATACTACAACTTTACTAATTTATCTTGTTTGTAGTTGTTTTTACATTATTTTCTTTTGAAGTTTTTAGACATAATTACTTCTTTTGCAAATACAAAGTTTTACCTCTTCCCTTCCTGTTCCTGTGCCTTTAATTTTTTTAGACTTTGTCTGATTGCATTAGGTAATAATGTTTAATGCAATGTTAAATGGTAGTGGTAATAGTCTTGTTCCTGACTTTATTGGGAATAACATTAAATAAGAGTCTGACTTTTGAATCCATATACACACACACACAAACAGACAAAAAATGAATAAGCTACTATTCCAGCACATTCTCCTTTTTAAAAAGGAGAGCCAGTTTGTATATAGTTGATCTTGAATGAATCTAGGTTTCTCAGTGAGAGTCAAGAACTGCAGGGAAATATGAATATCTAACAGGTGACTTTAAAGCATCCATTAATTCCTACTTTACTAAGTGTTAGTTCAGTACTTTTTTTTATGATAAATGACTTTTTTTTGGTCTAATGCCTGTGAAAATGACAACATAATTTTTCTCATATATGATGAATTGTACTGATTCCTTAATAATGAACCCCCTTTGCTTTGGTCATAATGTACGTGCTATTGGATTCTCTTTGCTAGTATTTTATTTCAGATTTTTGTACCTGTATTTATAAGGGAGATTAGTCAGTCATGTTCTTTTTATTAATTGCTTTTCTTTCACGTAATGAAAGTTATGTCCTAATATACCATCAAATAGTCCATTAAGACCAGTAAATACTTAGATTCTAATTACTTTGGCGATTACTTTATACTCTAAAATGGAAATATTCCCTGCACTGTGGAATGGCAGGTCTGTAGCTCCAGACCTCCCATCAGTCGTCATTCTTACATTTGTCCTTGTGCCTCTTGAGTTATAAAGTTACATTTCTGAATGCACAGCATCCTAAGAGCCTTCAGTAAATCAGTAGACAACATCCTTTTCTCTCTCCATGTGTGTGAACTAGGGTCTTCAGTTTCTTGTGAATACATTTCTAGCTGAAACTTTGTTTAACATGAAGTTATGCCTTCCATGGAAAGAAGATTACATTTGGAGCTTCTCATTAATGCTTTTGCAGTGTCTCTTTCCTCTTATACAGGACCTCTCTATCCCAAGAATTACAATTCTATGGTGGTGGTATTAATTTTATCTCATGGAGACATTCTGATTCATTTAAAGTATTTCATTAATTTGTTTAAAGCATAATTAGGTAGACTTTGGTAGCAATGTTAGGGTAAGAAGAAAGGGCTCAAACATGCAAGGAAAAGCAAAAGCTCATTATTTTAATGTGGACCCCACGTGTATTTTAAATCATCTTCTAATTTACTTGTCCTGTTAGATGTACCTAATAAAAGTTAGACCAAATGCATGCTTTTAATTAAACTCTCTAGCAGTGCTTTCATCAAAACTAGAATTTTTTTCCTATTTGTCTCTTGTAGAGGACATAAAGATAAGATATTTGTGGTAAAGTGTAACCCACACCATGTTGACAAACTGGTTACAGTTGGGATCAAGCACATCAAATTCTGGCAACAAGCAGGTACTGTTGTTTTGTTTATCATTTATGTGGTTGAAAGTTTTACTCCAGCTGGAAAAAAACAAAAGAAAACCCTCAACCACCACTTCTTAGCCCATCTCTGCAATGTAAAATTGTGCGTAAAAGCTGTTCTCTCCCAAATATGCCTAAGCCGTGAAACTGAGAACACTCTATATGATGCTGCATATTCATCAATACCTAGAAAGCTTTGGGAAATGTTCTGCTGTGAAAATAATTATTTTTATATTTAGTCATTGGTTCTTAAAGCAGTGATTATATTGGACTACTGAGCAGGAAATAATCACTTTGGTTGGGTGAATAAAATTTTCATTATTTTGTGGTTCTTTTATTAATTTATCACTGAATTTAGCACATGAATGAAACCTTGACCCTATACACAGGAAGCGGTCAAAATAAATGTGGATATGATGTTGATAATAAGGATGCGTAAATAAGCATGACAAAACACGGAAGGTGGTCTTACTCTTCTCACTAATAGGCCAGACCTATTGTTGGGAATGTTTCTTGTTCTTAGTATCAGCTTTGGTACCAAGCCCAGCCTTACACAAGACAAAACATAAAGAAGCTACTGTTCCAGTGCTTTCTGGTGTAAAAGAAAAGGTAATGGCCCCCTCTGTGTCTGGAGAGCCAGGCTGCATACAGTTCTCTGGAATGAGTCTGGGCTTCCCAGTGCCAGTCAGGAAGGGCAGGAAAAGGTGAACATCTGAGGACAAATATGATGCACTTCTCCTACACAGTGATTCATTTTCCTCACCCCAAAGTTACTGTGATAAAAATCGAGGCAAAACATACATAAAACATGTTTACAGTTTCCTTCACAGCCACTAGTGTTTCCATTCTCTTTGGTCAGCCTTCATGACGGCTTGCCTGGATCTCCCGGACACTTAGTCACTCCTCCCTCTCGCCTGCACAGAACTTGCACTGTGTCTTGGTTAGACGCAGGTCTCCTTGGTCTGAGATGCATATCAAGCTCTTTCTCCAACCAGACCCCAAGTTCCTAGAAGACAGGAACTCTTTCTTTTCATCTGTAGACCCCAACATTGACCACTGTGCCCACCACAAAACAGGGATTCAGCAAACACTGAATTCATGCGTGAAGAAGACCTTTTATAATGTTTTTGTTTGATATTTTTGTACCATTTCTGTACATCTTTATGTGTACAGATAATGCAGACACACTGGGTTTTCATTGAAGATGGTCATTCTAAAAGCCCATAGAAGGTGTCAGTTTTTCAAAAAGTGATACTCTTGGTCTGTTCCAGGAGGGGGCTTCACCTCTAAAAGAGGAATTTTTGGAAGTGTTGGAAAATTGGAAACAATGATGTGTGTTTCTTACGGGCGAATGGAAGATCTAGTGTTCTCAGGAGCAGCTACTGGAGATATTTTTATCTGGAAAGATATTCTACTACTCAAGACAGTGAAAGCTCATGACGGGCCCGTGTTTGCCATGTATGCATTGGACAAGGTATGGTCTGTTTTCCTCATTAGCTTTCAAAATTACAAGTTAGGGTTAAGAAAGTCACACCTAGAGGATGTCAGTATGTGAAAACAGTACTCTCTGAATTAGGACATAGTTGTCACAAACGGAGAGGAGCACAAATGGTCTTAAAACTTCTCTTTCATTTATAATTGTTCTTTATGCGCAATTTCGCTTTGCTTTTCTCACACTCTTTCTTCCTCACTCTCACTCCCAAGAACCTCTTAAGAAGTGTTGGGGTAAATGTAGACACACAGTAGGAAAAGAGTCCTGAGAAAGATTTCAACACCGTCATTCTCCTTGGCGGAGTGGAGACCTGGAAGTGCCCAGGGGTTAGATTACTGTCCTCCCGTCAGTTTGACCTGAAGTTAGGTTGATAACCAGGTTGTTCCTGTGTAGACAGGCTCAGCTTTAACAAGCGTGTTAGAGTGAAGTCTTATAACTGGGTGTATTTGTCAGGATTCTCCAGAGAAACAGAACCAGTAGGATGTAGATACAAAGGTATAGATGTACCTTTACATATGCAGAGAGGAGATTTATTATAAGGAATTGGCTCATGCAGTTACGGAGGCTGAGAAGTCCCGCAATCTGTCATCTGCAAGCTGGAGACCCAGGAAAGCCAATGGGTTAACTCAGTCCAAGTTCAAAGGCCTGAGAACCGGGAGAGCCAATGGTATGAATCCCAGTCTACGGGTGGGAAAAGATGAGATGAGATGTCCCGCTCAATCAGTGAGAGAGGAATAGGTGAATGTTCTCCCTCTACCTCTTGTTCTACGAAGGCTCTCGAAGGTTTGAATGATGTGCACCCACATTGGGGAGGGCTGTTGACTGAGTCCACCAATTCAAATACTGATCTCATCCAGAAGCACCCTCACAGACACATACAGGAATAATATTTAATCTGAGCGCCCAGTGGCTAGTCAGTTGACACATAAAATTAACCATCACACCAGCTTATTTCTTCTCAAGGTTGTCTTTGTCCTAACCTGTCCAGCTACACACTTGCCTTGCAGTGTTGTTGTTTTTAAAATAAAGATGGTACTTCCCTTCAGTGCTGTTAAAACACTTTCTTCAACCAATTTCCCAGGAAATACCAGTTTTTAATTCGCTGCTAGCTTGGTGATGGCGCCAGTTTACACATGCTCTCTGACCTCCAAACAGTTTAAACCATACGACACACCTAACTAAGCCTCATCTTGCATACCTGTTCCCAGATAAATATGCTCATCCCACTATAGAAGTAGGTTCTTGTTAGATGGGCAACTACAATGGTTGTTTTGATGGTTAAACTGTTTTTCACTAGGAAATTTGTTTTGGGTTCAACTACAAATTTTAGAAAAGATTAAAACAGAAAGCAAAATTTTTGTAGGCCCAGAAGTTAATGTGATATAAGTTTGTTTAAACTCTTATTGCTTGTTAACTTAAGCTGAAAAATTGTGGGAAAAGATAAGGATAGCACATTACAATATACTGCATTTACATTTAATTTGGAGAGTGGGTGTCCTTAGGGTCAAAATCTATAATAAGGATAAATAAGGATATTTAGTGTAATGAATTACAAAATATTATTTCCTTGTGAACTTCATTGAAATGAAGTAAATTAAAGTTTCTGAGAAAACAATACATTACTCAGTATTTTTCTTTAAAAAAAAAAAAAGACTTCTAAGAACAGTTGGTGTGTATAAGTTGCCAGAAAGGAAAACTAATAAAGCCAAGAAATCAGAAGCTTAGAACAAGAATAAAGATCACTGTTTAGTTAAAAAAAAAAATCCAATATGTTAAGCTTTTTACTTTTCAGGTTATGTGAAAATTAATCTGAATTTTAATGATTGTCTAAATTATGTCTATTGAACAAAAGAACAGAGTAGCTTTGTTGTATGAAATACTTAAGTTACTCTTAATAGTAAATAATGACTTTTTCCTGGAAGTAAATATTTTAAAATATTTAACAATCATTTTAGATTGTGGTGACGCTTCTAGCTCACGCAGCAGGAGTGTATGAGATACCAGAAACTCTGCCAGGCTTTGAGGCTGGTCCTGTTTTGTTGGAACCCACTTTCTAGTCAGGGGACTGGGCCGTCCAGTGATGCCAGAGTCCAACCAGTGGTCTGAAGACAGTGCAGTGGACACAGTGAGGAGGTGCTTCATCCTGCCAGAGAAACAGGGGAGAGATGCTTCTAGAAATCATATTACTATTATCGTCAGACTTTCCAGTCTCCTGTACTTAGGAAGAAAACACAGACGAAGCTTCTTTACCCAAGGGGGAGTCCTTTCGAAGCTGAGTGGGTTAACATGTCATTTTGATGTGTATATAATTCTTCTGACGTGTGCCTTCACAGGGCTTTGTAACAGGTGGAAAGGATGGAATCGTGGAGCTCTGGGATGATATGTTTGAAAGATGCTTGAAGACTTACGCCATTAAGAGAGCAGCATTGTCAACTAGCTCAAAAGGTGCCACTCCTGAGTATGCAGTAGAGATCTTTCTGTTCATAGAGATGGAAAAGATAGTACTAAAATTCTTGGAAAACCATTACCAAATCAGTTCTCTTTTTTTCTTCCACATTCAGAGCTCTTGATCCCTGGTAGAAATGTCAAGGATGGTGGCCCAATACCTAGTACTTGGAAACTATGAAAGTAGAATTGATATAATTATTATAATGTTTTTTGTTCTGTTAAATACAATATTTACAAAATTAAATAGAACACTTCCCCCCTCAGGCTTGCTTTTGGAAGATAACCCTTCTATTCGTGCCATCACTTTGGGACACGGACATATCCTGGTGGGAACAAAAAATGGAGAGATCCTGGAAATTGATAAAAGTGGCCCAATGACACTGCTTGTTCAGGTACTGTGTTTGTACATATTCCAAACTGTAATTCACATCAAAGCTGGAATGTGGGGTGAGGCAACGGGGAGCAGTAAGAGTGTAAAATATAAGGAGGCACTCACTCTCAAGGTTGGGTCAGTGCTGTATTAATTACTTATTGCTATATAACAAGTTGCCACAAACTTGCCAACTTAAAATAACATTTATTATCCTATGGTTTCTGTGGGTCGGAGCTGAACACAGTTTAGCTGGGTCCTCTATTCAAGGTTTTGTAAGGCTGCAAGAAAAGCCAGGACTGTGGTCTCATCTGAGGCTCAGCTGAGGGAGGATCTGCCTCCACGGTGCCTCAGGTTGTTGGCAGAGTTCAGTTCCTTCTGGGTGCAGGACTGAGGACTTCTGTTTCTTGTTGGCTGTTGGCCAGAGGCCACCCTCAGCTCTCAAAGGCTGCCCATAGTTCCTTGTAACATGGGGTCTCCAGCGTTGACTGCTTGCTTCCTCAAAGCAAGCAAGGGAAAGAGAAAAACAGGTACTAAAGTGCCTTTAAATGACTTTAACATAATCATATTATCACATTCGTGTAATCATGAATATCTGTCCCCTTTGCCATATTTTATTGGTTGGTAATAAGTCACAGGCAATAACACACTCAGAGGGAGGTGATTACACAAGAGTGTAAAAACCAGGAGGATCATGAGGGTCACCTGTCCAGCACAGCCTGCTCTCTGGCCATCAGATATCCCTGTCCCTACCACATGAAAAATACATTCACCTCTCCCAAGGTCCCCAAGAACCTCACTCCGCTACATTACCTGCTCAAAGTCCATGATCTCATCGTCCAAATTAGGCCTAGGTGTGCATGAGGCTCCTTAGATGTATTTCCTCTCAGTCTGTCAAAATCTGTCAAACTTAAAAAAAATTATTTGTTCTGCATACACCGAATACCTAGTGTCTCCTTAGATTTTGTGCATCATTCTAGTCTCAGCCTTGACTCACATAAACACATAACATGCTCCTTCACTTCCTCTCCCCTCAAATATTATATTCCTGTAATATCACATTAAAATGAATGTCAGCGGAATTCTCAAAGATGAAAGAAGGGATCAAATCTCACCCAAGGGGGTGGGAGTATGTGGAGGTGGGTAGGTAGTCCTGCCCAATTTGGTGTTGGATAGGCCTTAGTTACAGATGGAAGAGACACAGGATGGGCTGAGGGTGTGTAGAAGGTGGAGTGAAAAGAATATACACTGGTTATCTCAGCTTCAGGACCTTTCGTGGGTCCAGTAGAGGAGTTTTACCTCCTCCCTGACCTGATTGACACCTGCAGACTTGCTGCATCAGAGCTGAACCCCCAGAATCCCACTGTGAAGGGTCTTCTGATTTATTTCACCCTGAGGACAATTTTACACACACATCATAGATCAAAGTCCTTTGAGGTTTTAAGAATGCATGAGCCCAAGCCCCACCCTGGATATCCTGAATAAAAATGCATTTTTTTAAAAAAAATTCTGTGTTAAAAACAAACGACAGAAGCTCTGGAGCTGGTGGCACCAGGCAGCCAGGATTGAGAACTGGGCTGAGGTGCGTCCTTGAGGTGTGACTTCTTTGTTCTCCAGCTGTTCTTGCCTTTGTTGTTTCCTTTCAACCTAATTTCCTTTTCTTTCTGGCCATGACTTTTTATTTAATTTTATCAGAAATTAAATGTTTCTTTCTTTTTAATTTCCAAATATTTGAGACTTTAAATTGTTTACATGCATGCTAGGTTGCATAAAAGTACATAATCATATTCGATTAAGGAAATACAGTTTTTAAATTGATATGTAAGGCAGTGGATTGAAAGGGTCTCAGAGCCTTACGTCCATGTCCTCAGTGTACAAAAGGACTTGGTCTGTAAAAGAGCTTCAAACAGATCCAGTTTGGGGGAAACCAGGGAGGGCTGACACCTGATCCATCCTCTGTGACCTTGGGAGTGGGAAGCTTCTCAAGGGAAGAAAACTAGAAAACGGGGGATGTATGGTGCTTCAAATCTAATATAGTCAAAAAGAGTATCTACACCCATTGGCCTTTCTCAGATATTTGAATGTCAACTGTATTGGGAACTTCGTATCTTCTGCCAAATTACTGTTTTGCTTAAACAGCTTCCCAATTAAACCGGAATCATCCAATTTCTCTTTGGAGAGCCACCTGTTCCCCAAAGCATTCCAACTACAAACACCTTTCAGATGCCTGTGTATGGTCTTCCTTTTTGCTTTACTAAGCAAAGTCTTTTTATAATTAACTGCTAAAAGCAGAAATTCAGTAAACAATCTGGTCTGTTTTATTATTCCATTTCTAGTCTATTCTTCACTACTTTATTGACTGATAAGTTAGAAGAATCAGATTCATTTTCTCCCTAATTGCTCGTTTGTTAAATACTGTTTCATCTCAGTTGTTACTCTAAGCCAGTTAGGTAGCTGTGTTTGTGATAAGACATCGGATCGGTATGTGGAATTAGTCCAATGCCTGTCAAGCCCCTTTCAGTTTTCTGTTTACTAGAATACAATAATTTGTGAATAAATGCTGACTCTGAGCTGTAACCAGGACGCTTGAAAATTTAGCTCTATTCCTGCTCTGTCCAATGCTGTGCATTCAAAGAACTAAAATGGAATTAGCAAGAATATTGCTGCCCATTTCCTCTGACAGATAGCTGGTACCTACATCTTTTAGAATATGGTCTTATTGAAGGAAGTGGTTTGTGTCGTTGTGACCAAGCTGTTTTATGAGAAGATACATATGTACTGTGTTTATTCAATGTCAAACAATAGGATAAAATGAGGACAGTTCCTTATTCACTCAGACGTTTCTAAATGGAAAGATGTTTGGTGTCATATAAACGGAACTTCAGAGTGATGTGAGCCCATCCTTCATTTCCCAGATGAACGCTTTAGCATCATGTAGGCCCAACTTTAGATCAAGTTCAAATGAAAATTTATTCTGTACAGTCATTTTGGCTCAAGGCAGCTTAAACTGTGTTTACTCACATTTGAACCTGTTTGGGATACTCTCAGACTGAATATGCAGCACAAGGCTGCGGGAGGGCTGGCTGTAAGCATGGACTGATTCTGTGTTGTCCCATTTCCTCTCCCACAGGGACACATGGAAGGAGAGGTGTGGGGGCTGGCGGCTCACCCTCTTCTGCCCATCTGTGCAACAGTGAGTGATGATAAAACACTGCGGATCTGGGAATTATCCTCCCAACACCGTATGCTGGCAGTACGGAAACTCAAAAAAGGTAGGTAACATCACCTTACATACCTGTGAAAGTACTTACAACAGAAAGTACTGAACTCATTCATTCATTCATTCATTCATTCAGCTAATATTCACTGAGAGCACCTAGTAGATGGCCCCAAATATGCTGGGCAACGGGGATTTTGTGTTTGTTGTTACAGATAGAACTAATCACATGTAGAATTGTTCCAGAAGGCTGGCCTGATCCAGTCTTCATTTTCCTTGCAATGCACAGACACTTGCCACCTGGGGGCAATATGTCCTTCCTCTTCTCATCTAGAACTGTGGGAGTCGGTTGAAACACATCAGCTTGTAAAGAATGCTGTTTATTTTTATGTCTAACCGTCTCCAGAACTGACTTATATTACTGGAAAATGAAAGCCAATTATATTTAAAAAAAACTAATATCAAGAAATGAATAAATATATATCAAACACTTATATGCACTAGAACTAAGAGGTGTAACAAGAAGGACAAACTCAAAAAGCATTTATGGAGTGGCTTCTAGGTATCAGGCACTGAGGCTCCCAAGATGAACAGTCAAACTCTAGTGTCAGAGAAGGACAGGATTTGAACAGAGTCCCAGCAACAGATGGCCCATTCAAATTGGGTAATTTGAGGAGAGGCTCAAAATGGTACTATTTATAAAGGAGTGAGCAGGGTGTAGGGAGATGACCAGGGCTAGTGCAGCACGACACAGCCAGTAACAGCCGGGTAGCACGACCAGCCCTGGGCCTGGAGGGGCCAAGGAGGGCAGTTGCTGGAACCTTGAAAGTGATTGCTGTGCGAGGTGACAGCAGGCAGGAGCTATGACTGTCAGCCCAGAGACTCAGCCAGCCTGCAGTGACCCTGCAGGGAGGTGGCTAGGGGAACACGTACCCCCACCTCCCACCTTCCTTGTTCCCTTCCATCCTCCCTCCAGTCTCCTGCTCATGCTCCCTTGACCACATGTAATCACAAGCCAGGGGGTGCGGGAGCCCATTGATACAGTCCATGTGGGCCAGCTCCACAGAGCAGGGTGGAGAGTGGGTGAGGGGAGACAAAAGAGCTCTGGCACAAACAGGGTATCAGGGAGACTCAGTCAGGCCCACTGCCAGGGACAGCTCCATTGGGGAGGAAACATGAGCACCGAGTCTCAAAGGATTTGTGAAAGTGAAGACAGGAAAGGACGAGACTGGGGTCTGGCCCTCAAGTATTTGTACTTGGGACTTTTATAAAGAGACATGTGGTATTCTGGGGGGATAAAATGAAAAATGGTGTCGAGACGGTAGTGACGATAATGACGGCGCTAATACTGCTGAGCCAGCAACTGTGCTAGCCCTTCGCCTTCATCTTCACTGGAACCCAGTGAATAAGGCCTTTATTATTTCCACTTACAAATTTGGCAGCTAAGGCACAGACAGCTTATGTTGTTTGCCCAAAGTTGCACAGCTAGTAAGTGGTGGACCTTAATTCAGACCCAGGCAGCGTGGCTTCAGAGAGCACAGCCGTGGCCTCTGTGGGACCTCCGCCATAGAGCTTCCGGACTTCTGGGCAGTGATAAGTGATGGAGTCAGCATTCAAACCCAGGTCTGACTCCAGAGACCATGCTCTTACCCATTACAGGACTGAATAATTTGGCCATTAATTTATATTGGAGAAATGATAGACCAAGTCCTTAGTGTGAGTGACTCGAATATCAAACAGTGGACTTGATTCACTAGGTTAAAAATCAGGTCAAAAGAACCACTGCCAGCACATCTTAGAGAGGATGGCCATTCAACCCAGTTGACAGCTGTTGTCCCTGTGTAGGTGTTAGTAGCTCCCCCTTTCACTCTCAGGTGTCCTGATCTGTGTGGTAAGTTATGAAGCTTAGCCTAATCTTGGTGGCTCTCCTCAGGAGCAGGCTGGTCTGTCTGGTCTTCCAGCACTGGTGGCACGCCCGATTCATAGAAGGTAAGTAACAGCACAGTGAATGAAGAGAGGAAGGGAGGTGTAGTTTATGAGCCAGTTTTAAAGTTACGGTATGAACATAGCTTTCCGCATGTCTGAGGCCTGAGGGGTGTGTGTGGAAGCTCCATTTGAAATACCTTAGCACAAGGCTGCCGGACTGTCCCACCCTGGGGCTGTGCCTACTATAGTCTTGACAGTAAGAACAAGGGTGACATTCTTCAGTGGGATTCCTATTAAATGTACCCCAACAGAGTCCATCCTCCCCAGTCAGAAATAGCTCCGTGTGACCCTCCAAAGTAGTAGAAAACATTGCTCGTGTAGCACCCAGTGCTGATTAGTTTTGCTGATACCTCTGCAGAAAATGTCCATAGTCCATTCTTCTCATGACAAAAGAGGCCAGATCAAAATCTTCCACCTCTAGAATTATGCATTAGGATCCACGGGTCAGAGAATTAGAGTGACTCAGAGTAGAACAAGGAGCTCTAAGGCAAGTTGTGTGTGTCAGGAGTGATACCAAAAAATAGTTTCCAGAAATGTTATTACAGAACTTTCCTTCTGAAATACCACCTCTTAGGAGCAGAAATATGGGTTATATTAATCCTTTATTTTCCCCATTCACTCCCCTTGTCTTTTGAAAAATTCAGATATTCAGATACTAAGAAATGAATAGATAAACCTCCAATAAATTGAAAACATATTGTTAACATTATGATCATTGTCCTTGAGTTTGGAGGAATGAGGTGTTCTAAATTATGAAGTTTTAATTCTTCTCACATGTAGTGTGAATTTTAAAGGCACAGTCACACGTCCACGCATAATGCACGTATTATACAGATTTCCCCATCTCTTCGTTTTGTTTGTTTTGGTAGCAAAGTCACAAATCATAACAGTTCTTTGTGGATTCTTTTTAGGTGGACGATGCTGTGCCTTCTCCCCTGATGGGAAAGCCTTAGCAGTTGGCTTGAATGATGGGAGTTTCCTGGTCGTAAACGCTGACACTGTTGAAGACATGGTCTCCTTCCATCACAGGAAAGAAATGATCTCTGATATTAAATTTTCAAAAGGTGAAGATGACAGCAGAAACTTTAAAAGATGTGTTGGGATAAAAAGTTACAAGAGTGGACTCTCTTAAAATATTTCCTTGGCCTTGAACTTATTTTAAAATGCTCAGTTCCTGGAAGTAAATTCCCATCTAAAATGTTTTGGTGTTAACTGCACACTTTTCTTTATAGATACAGGAAAATACCTTGCTGTGGCATCCCACGACAACTTTGTGGATATATACAACGTCCTTACAAGCAAAAGGGTCGGCATCTGTAAAGGGGCTTCCGGTTACATTACACACATTGACTGGGACTGTAGAGGTAAAGTGGCTTTTAAAATATACTTTCAGTATTTAAAAAGTCCATTCATACGTTGTTTCCAGAGAGAATGGCAGTTGAGTTTTAAAGCTAGACAACATATAAACAGCTGTGATTTTACAACCCTGAGGCAGCTGCTGTTAACATTTTGAGTATTTTCCCTTGTTTTTGTTATAATTACTACTACTACTATAGTTATTATTAATTCAAGCCATTGAGTTTTAAGACAGGTAAAGATACACGATGCCTTCTGTTACCATGGCAAGTCACCTCTTCACCTCTGGGTCTGGCATGCTGTGTCCTTGCCTTCTGTCCCCTCCTTACTGCTTTCCCTTTTTCTACCAATTCTCTACCACTTGGGAGAACTGCCCAAGAAGTTTCAAGCAATTTTCACCCTCCACTGAAGGCAGAAAGCAACATTCGGCTCGCCTAGAGATTGTCTGCTCTCTGAGAGTCTGAACCTGCCCCCCACCTCCTCTCAAGCATGCCCACAGATGCCACGGGGATTTGTCTATTTATTTTACAAATCTAGCTTTGCCATGTGAGTGGTCTTACGCCAGAGAATGTGGAGGATATGGAAATGAGTGAAGCATGACTCCTGTTCCCTGCAGAGCTTGTAACTTAGTGAGGGAGACACATTAGTGCCTGAACAGGAGCGCAGACTGGGTAAGGCATTGGAGTGAGAGATGGTGGGTCACAGGGGAGGTGGTGAGCAGGAGCTCAGAGCGGACCAAGGCAGCGTTGAGCACCCAGGGTGCCACATCCGTGCGTCCACTGTAGAGTGGGCCACTTTTAAATCCCATCCCAGGGTCTTGGCTGATGTTAGAGTCTGGGGCAGTCATTTAGGAGTGGGCAGGACCCCAGCCTTCAGAGTTTTAGTCCATTGGGGTAGACAGTAGTGTCTTGAGGAAAGAGCTTCCAGGGAACCCATGGAGCCTTCACAAAAGAAGTGACCTTTGAGATGGATTTTGAAAAATGAGTAGAAGTTCACCAGCTGGCAGAGTCTGAGACGGGCTAGCATTCCAGGCTCAGAAGGAACATGGCCCGCCACAAGGTGGAGGTAGGGAGAGTTGGGTGATTAAGAAATAGTAATGCTGAGTGGCTGCGGGCACGAAGGGCAGAGGATGGGAAGAGGCAGACCAAGACAGAGTGCAAGGAACTGTTACATCATGCCTGCAAGTGGAACCCTGAGCTTGACCCTGTAGGCATCAGGTAACTCTAAGGGATTTTGAGTGGGGCGTTCCTACCCTCTTGGGGAGGGTGTGTGAGCCTGGAGTTGGAAATCAACTAAAATAAACCAGGAGAAAGAGAGAATGAGGGCTTCAACCAAAATGAGGTTCTTCCAGAAATGCCAGCATATTTTATTTCAAGTATTTCTTAAAGTAGTGGCCATAGACTAACCTTCCTGCCAGGCAGGGGTTTAGTTATAACTATACTTGCTGCACTGGAATTTGGACTTAATTTAAGTGTTACAACCTGCAGGCATTTTACACAGTGCAGTAGATGGAAAGAAGGCGTGCCATTTATTGTGAGAGGTACAAGTCCCAACAAGGGCAAAGGGAGATCAGATAAGTCCTCTCATTTTCACGTCAGGGCCTGCCAGACGCAGTGCCCAGGGCACAGGCTGGCGCTTGTGATTGGCTGGGACACTGGTGGCCTGGGAGAGTCATCTAGGAGCCTGTGCAGCCCCGGGGGGTGCGTGGGAGCGGCTGCTTCTCAGCCTTGTTCTTTGATACTCCCTGCTTCATAGTTTAAAAAAAAAACAAAACAAGGATTTCACCCTATTTCTTCACTGGCTGACATCCCTAGGTATACCCTCTTGTGAGAAAGTTTTAGAATATTGAAGGCCATTTTTATGCATATGTAGAAGAGAGTATAGTGAGTTTTATTTAGAACCCAGCACACACACACTTGACACAATATGTTTGATCCCACTGCCACAACAACCATTAGGGGGTTAAAACCAATTATTATTTACATTTTATGGCGTGAAGGGCCAAGAGAAAATGAAACATAGTAAGTTTTGATTGGGAAGATTTCTTTAAAATTGTTTTTAATTGTGGTCAAATAATGCATAACATAAAATTTACTAGCTTACCCATTTTTTAAAGTGTGTGGTATAGTGGCATTCAACACATTGACGTTATCGTGCAGCCATCACTTCCTTCCGTCTCCAGGACTTTTCATCTTGTAAAACTGAAATCCTGCAGCTGTTAAATAATAATTCCCCTTTCTCCTGCCCCCAGCCCCTGGCAAACACCATTCCAATTTATATCTCTAAGACTGTGACTATTCTAGGTACTTCACACAAGTGGAATCATACACTATTTGTCCTTTTGTAACTGACTTATTTCGCTTAGCATAATGTCCTCAAGATTCATCCATGTTGTAACGTGTCAGAATGTCCATCCTTTTAAAGGCTGAATAGTATTCTGTCTTGTGACAGCACATTTTGTCATCCATTCACCCATCAGTGGACACTTAGGTTGCTTCTACCTTTTCACTATTATGAATAATGCTACTGTGAACATGGTGGGTGCAGTTCTTTGGAGTATATACCCAGAAGTGGAATTTCTGGATCAAATGATAATTCCATTTTTAATTTTGAGGGAAGCCACCATACTGTCTTCCACAGCAGCTGCTCCATTTTATATTCCCACCAACAGTGCACAAGGGTTCCAACTTCTCTGCATCCTTGCCAACACTTGATATTTTCTGGGAGGGGGGTTTCCTAGTAGCTATCCTAAATGAGTGTGAGGTCATATCTCATTGTAATTGTATTTGCATTTTGGAAAGGTTATTGCTATTAGTTTTCATTCTTCAAATGTGTAGACCCTGTGTCAGATATAGGGCTATAAAGAGGAGTAAATAGATAGAAAGAACAAGATCTTGGCCAGGATCAGGGGGCTGCCACCGGGAGGGGCCTAGGTAGAGACCTGTATGAAGGCCCTT